TTTCATGCGATTCTCGAGACTACAGGACCCGGACTTGACCCTCCACGCCACATTGTCCTTCGCGGGAGTTAGGTAGCACATGGAGTACGGGTGTCGTGCGAGGGGCACGATGATGAAACACGATGGCGGGTAACCCCGCTGCGCCGGTCCCCCGTCCCCGTCGATCATTCTCGCAGTCTCTATGCGCCAACGTCACGGCGCCCGTTCTATGGGAGTAGTGGGCGCGATTAATGGACGTGACGTTTTGTCAGAGGAGTCGGTCGGGACGGAGGTGACGAGCTTGTTGCTGAACCCAGCCTCGGGCGAATCAGAGAATTGATATCCCGTCCGAGACCTTGCGGGGCGGGGCCTCGGCGAGAGGGCCTCGGCGGGGCGGAGGGCTTTGGCCTTTCGTCTGAGGCCTCGGCGCAAGCCTTGGGCGAGTCGGAGAATCTGCCGAGACCTCGTGGTTGTCCTTTGTTTTTGATTTTTGCAAGGTTTAAGCAATATTTTTGGTTCTTGCTTAGGGTACCCCTTCTTGTGATATCCGACAATAGTTTTTGCAATTTGAAACGGAAGCAGTATAAAATAACAAAACAAAACAAGTGCTTGGTCACTTCTGTGATATAAGCATGGCCTACTGCACCTGTATTGTCTTTTCGGCACACAAAAAAAGAAAAAAATGATGCATTATGGTGAATCTAAGATATGATCTCTATTTGCTGCTTTGGATTAGATGCTAAGATATCATATCATGCACTTGCATTTTCCATGTCTTATTCTGTGGTATTATGAGTGGTATTACGACTGTTCCCTTCAGCCTAAGAGATGGTACCTTCAAGTCTGAGCACTGAAATTACAGGATTTAGTAAAACATAATCAGTCATGGCACCGAGACATTTATATTTGTGCCAAAAGCAAAATATGAATTTCTTTCCTTTAAATATTGGCTCCAATAGCTGAGATACAGTGTTTTAGTTTGGAAAACCAGAAATAAGAAAACATTTAGTTTCAGTGTTTTAGTCGGTCATCTTATCAGCATATAGCTTATCTTGAAACTTTTGCAGCTGAAAGTCAGACATGTAATCGCAATGTCAATAACAGTCAATAGAGATGAAGCAAGTAGCAAACCGTTTATGTTACTTGCAAGTGACAGAAACCTGACCTTCAGTTTGAGAGATTCTCCAGAGACCTGACAATGCATGCTTGGTTGTTTCGTGAACATGCTTTTACCATCTCAACTAATATATGCAACAATGAAATGATCAAGGAAAGGACTTGCCCTGGCTTTTGTAATTCTGTTGCTACTGAATCTAACTGACCTTGTGTGGGTTTTGTAAATTTATTTAATATCTACATGTTTGAGTTTGATAATCAACTGACATGTATGTGCTGATCTAAAAACTTAACCGAATCTGAATATATTTTGATAGATTTATTCTTTGACGAATTGTTCTTAAACATGATTAAGTTACATTGCTAAAATTAAATCAAGTATCAATCGTCCAGTTAATTCTTGTCAATTGGGACTTATGAGCATTTATAATAAGCTCATGTCATTTGCCTCCGAGCAGGAACTCCAGGACACCATCCTCATTCACGGCCGCAGTGACAAGCAACTGCGAGGAGCTGTAGTACGCCAGATGTGCTGCAGACGGTCCCTAACATATTCTTGGGGCCTGTTTAGTTGCTCCAAAATCCAGAATTTGACACTATGCAAAAAGAAGATTCCCCGTCACATCAAACTTGCGGTACATGCATGGAGTATTAAATGTTGACGAAATCAAAAACTAATTGCACAGTTTGGTTGTACTTTGCGAGACGAACGTTTTAAGCCTAATTAGTCAACAATTGGACAATTATTACCAAATAAAAACAAAACGACACTGTAGCAACAGTGTTGCTACAGTGATCCGGGCGGCGCCGAACCGGCGGAACTAAACAAGGGCTTGTTGGCTGTGACAAATCAGGCAGCAGAATTGGTCTGCTATCGTCGAAGTCCGTGCTTAATTATGAGAATAGGGAATCTTTTTGCAGCTTTCATGTTAACGTTCTCCATAATTATGAGACCAAATGTTTTAGAAAAAACTTTACTATAACTTCTTAGTTTCTCGGATTGTATACATGCTCAAAGATATTGTGTAAAAGTTGAACTATGAAAAAAAAAACATTTGTTGTTTTCATGTGCGTCTCCAAGATAAATCCATTGCGTTAGCACGGGCATTATACTGGTCATAATTAGGGCGCATGCATCAATTAGCGCACAGTATTTTTGGGTTGTCGACTGTGTGTGCATGAAAGTTACGAGAATACACGTGCATGCAAGTGAGTGGTTACGAGAATATATTTTAGTTGCCATGCATGCAAGCGTGTACAGATGTGTTACGAGAATACACATAAAGCTGGTGTACTAGTACAGCTGCTGCCATGCATGCAAGTATGACGAGAATACTAAAAGCAAATACTCATTAAGTAATTAGGTAGTTACGAGAATAAAGCATGATGAGACCAATTTACGGTCTTGCATGCAAGTATTACGAGAATACTAAATACAAATACAAACCTATCATATCAAGTAAATGATTTACTAGAAAATATATGGCATTGAATGTGATTTACTAGAATCTATGCCTTGGTATTCCAGTGAATTTGACAACTATGATTTACGAGAATTTAGTGTGATTTATGAGAACGAACCTTGAATGTGAATTACTATCATGGTTTACGACAACTTTATACATGACTTACTAGAATCTATGTTGTTGAATAAGATTTACTAGAATCTATGTTTCTCTACCCTTCTAGTTACGATAATCTATTTAATACAATTTTTCGAATTATTTACTAGAATATATGTCCCTTGCAAATATTGAATTGTATTGTAGTGTTCAACAGGTGGGGACAAATCAAATCAGCCATACAAACAACGTAAAGTTCCAGTTGAAGTTTGACTAATCTAGCTAGCAGTGATGTGTCACTAGATTAGTAAGTATAAGTAGGTACTATGATTCTAGTAATTTACTATATCACCGATGTGTCACTAGAGTGTTGTGTTACACACAATTTAAATAACATAATCAATCCATGAACACACCTTGAATTCACAAACGTAAAAAATCAGTAAATCAATTGGAAGATAAAACAGGGAAGGGATTAGAGAACACACCTTGAATTGGACCACCAGTAGCTGCTGCACATCCGCGCGAATAGACGCGAGCTGTAGCGCTTCTGGCAGTAGTGTGCATGTGTGGCCACGAGTCACCATCACGATGGAGCTGCCCAAAGATGCAAAGCAGAATCGTCTGGAAGAACAGGTTAGATCTAGGGTGCGTATGGTCATCGGCAGAAGCGACGATGATACGCACGTCTCCATCCACGATTGAGACGGTCTCCTATTTCTGGAAACGAGTAAGCGTAATTTGGGTGACAAGCCGGTCACTAATGCAAACCAGCCGAGCTATTAATGGGCTCCATCCAAGGCAAGGCGTCTTGGGTGGGACGGATGGCCCCCTGGCGCTGCATCGGACGCGGGTGTTGGGTCTGGCTACAGAATAAATTATTCTGTAGCCAGCTATAGAGTACTCCTTCTAATATACGGTAAGGCTATTCTACAGCTAACCACAGAATAATTTATTCTATGGCCATCTTAATTTACGATAATGTTTGTATCAATTTACGATAATGACAATACACATTTACGATACAGGTGGGTTACTATAATTCAAGATGATACTTACTATAATGCTATAGTAAATCACTTATGAGAGAGTTACCATAATCTCGTAAATTAGTATAGTAATTATCGTAACTTAAAAGTGGTCACAGAATAACTTATTCTGCGACCAGCTACAGAATAGTACGTCTATATATATATATATATTTTGAGGAAACACTGTACCCTCTAAGTTCTTAAAAGATACGACGCTAAGGGTCAATAACGTGAGCTAGTTTGGCCTAAATAAATGTTTAATAATGTAAGTGATTATCAAAATGAAAACTAATCTTCTACGGCGAGTAATAGGCTAAGCGTGTGTCCTGTCGTTGAGACCATGAACCTGTTGAAAATCCTTAAGTCATCCCCGTTGTAATCAAACTATTCTCTCTTAATACAAAGACGCGCAAATCTTTTATGTGATCGAGAAAAAAAATGAAAACTAGTCATGGTCAGTGTTATCTTTGCTGCATTTTTTTTCTTTCTTTTTTGTATATCTTTTAATCCGACACTTTCATCCCGGCTGGATAAGTAAGCTCTCCAGAAGGCAGAGGCCCGTGGGATTTTGGCCCACATATTTCAATCATAGGAGTAGGACATAGCGGCATGATATACAAGGCCCACTAAAGGTTGTGCCAATTGTTTCGTCTTGGCATGGCTGGTTGTCGTGTTACAGATTGTAGAATTGCATACTGTCGAGTTTCACGTATGGGCTGCTGCCCCCCTGTATGTAAATGTAAAACTAAAACATTGCCACTACCATTAGCATCCTGCATCCTGTCGTTGTCGTTCCATCCGCATATTGTTTTGCCTGCAGATCGTTCCAAGTTCGTTTCGGAATGAGGAATGACTTCAGGTTCTGGCTTGCGTGTTCTCTGTATGTGGTTTACTGGATTGTCGTCGTCACACACTAGGAGCAGACATGTGTTTAGCCAGAGGTGATCATTTCTTTCCTCAACTCAAGCTGGCAACTCTGCCGTTTATGGTTTATCATCAGTTCAATCATTCAGCACAAACCCAATTTCAGTTCCTGGTGTAATCTCATCGTACAAGAAAATGGCTCTCGAAAAATGATGTCACAATATCCTGTACTGCCGAATCTAACATGCAATGGGGATCACGGTTGCTCTTATTTTTGTATAATACCGAACATACTCACTGGTAACGAAATATCAGTGAGCAAAACTGAAGCAGAAAAGGTAATAAGCGATGGTTTACATTACTGCCACCGAAATGTTCAGTCGCAGAGAATTATTCACAACTGAACTCGCCTCAACAATCTAACAAACGGAGCCATCAACCGATTCACCTATTCAGAGTCTGCGGACTTCCCCTGGAGCTTGAGCGCGAACGCCTGCAGCGCCAGGAGCAGCTTCCTGACCTGCTCCCTCGTCTCCGGGTCGACCAGGTTGCCGTCGTCGTCGAACTTCCTCGGCAGCTGATGAGCCTTGGTGAACACCTCCGGTTTGATGACGAAGTGGATGCCGAGAGCCACCCCGACATGCCGGATGTGGTACTGCGACCGGTCGCCGCCGGAGCCGCCCGACGCGCTCAGGATCGCGGCGGCCCTGTCCCCCCAGCGGTTCGGCGGCCGCGATGCCCAGTCCAGCGCGTTCTTCAGCGGGCCTGCAAGGGAGGACCGTGGTCGGTCAGCACGCAATCAGCAGACATGCGAAATGCATGGAGTTGGTCGTTCAGAGTAGAGTGTGATAGGAGAAGCGGCCGGTATTTACCTGAAATGGAGTAGTTGTACTCGGGGGAGGCGAAGAGGAAGCAGTCGGCGCCGCGGACCTTGTCGCGGAACGCCTCGACGGCCAGCGGGAACGCGCCGGCGGCGGCCTCCAGGTCGGTGTTGAGCAGCGGCAGGTCGGAGATGTCGACGTGGTCGATCTGCAGGCCTGGGATGGACTCCCTTCAAATCCCTGCGGCTGCACACACGGTGACACGGTTTAATTATGGAATGTCGGTAAGGCAGGAGCCACGCAACGAAATCCGATAAGCCATGGGTCACAGAGTGGAAATGAGCTAATTACCAGCACGGATGAGGCCGGTGTTGGCCGACGCCCTGCGCAGTGAGCCGGAGATCGCCGCCCCTCTCAGGACGGTCTTCGCCGGCGCGTGTGCTGTCGAGGATTCTTCCCTGAGCGACATGACGTATCGGAGTCGGAGTCGGATTGGGTGACCTCCTAGGCTTCTCGTACCAAATTCTTTTGTTTTTTTGTTTTTTTTTGCGAAAGAAAATTCTTTTGTTTTTTTATTGATGATGATGATGATGGCCCCGTTCGCTGGTCTAAAACTTGACTGAAACTGATTGATTATTGTGAAAGAAAAACACTGTAACGGATAAAACTGATTGAAGGAGCAGCCGGCTGAAACTGGCCGGTAAGACCAGCGAACGCGCCCGATGATCGAACGGAGCGATGTGGAATTTGACGTCGTCGATTGACCGCTTTTGACTTTGACGAGATGCATGTGTCTACATGAAGAGTTGCTGTCTGTCAACCTTTGGCTTACGGCAGCAATGCCGTGGCCGTTTCCCCTCTTCCCGGAGGTTGCTTAGATCTGGTTTAGTTTCTAAAAATTTTCAACCTAAACTATCACATCGAATCTTGCGGCATATGCATGAAGTATTAAATATAGACGAAAAAAACTAATTACACAGTTTAGTTAGAAATCGCGAGACGAATGTTTTAAGACTAATTAGTCCATGATTAGCCATAAGTGCTACAGTAACTACCATGCGCTAATGATGTATTAATTAGGTTTAATAAATTCGTCTCACAGTTTTCCGGCGAGCTATGTAATTAGTTTTTTTTATTAGTATCCAAAAACCTCTTTCGATATTCCAAAACATCCGATGTGACATTCAAAATTTTTCATTTCACAAACTAAACACAGCCTTAGCATTGGAACGAAGCTTCCGTCCATTTGTTGGTTTGTGGTGCGGGTGCCGTGCCCCATACGAGGAACCACGGCCGCCAGTAGGCATGCAGATGCAATGCATATGCTTGCACGGTAGGCGGACTCAGCTCGATCGGCCGCCCTTTCAACGCTGCTAGCAGCAACTCTTCCATGCCCATGTGGAAGATCAACAAGGAAACGAAGCGCTCCACGGTTTCCGGACCTTCCGTTTCCACGGTCCACGCACGTGGAGAAGCTAGCGCTATTGTCAGTTGTCACCCTCTCACCCTGAATGTTTTTTTTTGGCAGTTGAAAGATAAGATATCTTTACTATTAACAAGACACGAGTCAGATTACAATCCATTTTTACAAAAGATTAATGTCATGTTTGGATGCATGTGTATCTATTTTAATCTATATGTGTTTAATTCTACTCCAATTCACTTCAACACATGTGGATTGAGATGAGTACATACGCATCCAAACAAAGCCTAAGAATACACGCAGCTACTCAACCCAACCAAGTCACAATATGCAGAGCCCTCCTACTCTTAAGGGGGTGTTTGGGACTGCTCCGCTCCACGTTTTTCAGCTCTGCTCTATGTTTTTTAGCCAAACAGTTTCAGCTCCACGCACTCTGTTCGAGGAAAAATAGTGGAGTTGTGAGAGCACCTAAAGAGGTACTCCACAAACTCCAGTTTTTTATGGAGCTGCTCCACGGTGGAGTTTGTGGAGCAGAGTTTGTGGAGCAGTCCCAAACACCCCCTAAGTCCCACTTGACAAAATATAACTCATTTGCTAGTTTAGCTGCTAAAACTTAACTTAAGTCTCTGAAAATTGCTAACAAAGGTGGGCATTCTATGAGTCCGTCTTCAAACTCAAATGCACACCGCTATAAACAGTTGTAACAAAAAATTATTCATAATAATTTCTTCAACAAACTTTGTATCAAAATTATAGTCCTTGACGCGATCTATAGCTTTGTAGTTGAAAAGTTTTTAGTTTAGAATTGTCAAGAGTCCTAAAATATTGTTTTAAATTCATAGATTTTGAAATTTGAAATTTTTAAATAATCTTGGATGTTGACATGGTCTATACCAGAGTTGTAGTTCTCAATACAATGTACAACTTTGTAGTTGAATAGTTTTTTATTTAAAGTCGTTTATAGTCCCAAATATGTATTTTAAGTTCATAGATTTTGAAATTCAAAATTTAGAATTTCTAAACGACCTTGAATGTTCACATAGTTAATACCAAATTTTTTGAATTGAAGTTGTTTAGTGCCTCATATATTTATTTTAAATTCACATATTTTGATATTCAAATGTTTCAAACAATCTCGGATGGAGACAACATCCTATACCAAATTTTCAGACATTGTGATACAAACTAGTTGCTTGTTTGGATGGTTTGCTTGAGGACCTCGAGGCTTGTCCTATACCAAAGCTTAAAACACTGTGATACGAAATTAGTTGCTTTTTAGGCTCCACGCGTTAGCTAGGCTAGCTGAGAAACCAAACACACCTTAAGTAACGTTCCTTGGACTCTAAGAACCTTGTAAACAAATTTGTCTTCGTCAAAATTCATATTAGCATTTTTTCATTAATTACCTGTATTTTTTATTGTATTTAAAAACTACTGTTTGTTGTAGCCCTCAATTTTAAAACCTGCACGTATCTCAAATGAGAAATAGACATAATTTTGCATTGCTAAAAACCAGTGCCTGTCCTTAATTTTGAGGGCCCTCTAACGAACTCGTCACGAAGGCCCTCTAGACCACATATAAAATCTTATAATATATAGGTGTTAATTTTTGTTGCAAAGCGAAAACAAATTCAGTGATATATTTTTAATTTAACATGTTTGATAGTTATCGAGGAACAATGTAAACTAAAATGGCCCAGGAGTGGCCTATAAACTCCATTTCTCTCAAAATGTAAACATCTTGTAAACATTATCGCGGGCCACGAGGGCCAAATAAAATTCAGGTGGCGAAAACTCCCGTGGTAACCGTAAAAAAAGTAAACTAAAACAATAGTATATTTGTACTTCTAAAACTAATATGATTACCACAAGGAAGAATAGAACTCCATAATATCCATTGCTTCTCATAAAAAAAATGATTCTTCGGGCACTTCTTGATGCAGAATCATCAAAGACGGTATGAGATCAATAGTGTCCACTTATGTATAGCACCTTTTTAAGATTCAATAAATTGATCTTCTAGATTTTTCTGTTTTCTTTTCTGAGATCCCAACAAATGTTTCTTAGGTAACATTTTAAGATTCTAACACTTAAATTAAAAGAAAAGCATGACTATATGAGTAGGAGTACTAGAAGTCTGAAATAATTAATTTAGATTAAAAAACGATCACGGGAAAAAATACCTAGGTGCTAGGGCCTGATCGGCTGATGAACTGATAAACTGATGATCGGCTGATCTGCCTGATCACGTCATCGTCGAGTCGAGCCTGTAAGTGCGTCGTTTCTATGTTTCCAGCTCTCCACGGCGGCCGGCGGCGGAGTGGCGTGGCTCCGTCTCCGACTCTCCGTGACTCCCTGAGATCATGACCCTTCGCCCTGGGCACTCGCGTACGTGGTAGACTCGGGGACTGGGGAAGCAAACGCTCGGCGCTCTGATCCTGAACATCTTGGGCTGCCTATCAAGTGCCATCAGATTATAGGGCTAGGGTCTATGGTGTAGCTGGGTCTGGGCCCCTCCCTCTCCTGGGCCGTGGGCCGTCGCACCTCTGGCACCTGTACAGGACTGGCACTGCTAAAAACTTGACTCTCGACTCTCGGACGAAAGCCACCCGTAGGCATTTGGCCGCCAAGTATTTAGCCGGGTCAAGAAAAAGCCACCGAAATATTGGGTCGCAAATAATTATTGAAGACACCATCAAGCGTACAGTACGCTCGTAGTACAGATTACAGACCACTTTGACATTTGTAGTTTGCGATTATCTGCTCCTGACTGACAATCTAATGAGCAAGCCTCCCTGTTCAGACTTCAGAGTCCGCAGCAGGCTTCCCCAGCTGGAGCCTGAGCGCGAGAGCCTGCAGCGCCAGGAGCACCTTCCTGACCTGCTCCTTCGTCTCCGGATCGACCAGGTTGCCGTCGTCGTCGAACTTCTTCGGCGGCTGGTGCGCCTTGATGAACGCCTCGGGCTTGTTGACGAAGTGGAGGTCGAGGAACACGCCGACCTGCCGGATGTGGTACTGCGACCGGCTGCCGCCGGACCCGCCCGACGCGCTGAGGATGGCCGCGGCCCTGTCGCCCCAGCAGTTGGGCGGGCGCGACCCCCAGTCCAGCGCGTTCTTCAGCGGGCCCGAGATGGAGTAGTTGTACTCGGGCGACGCGAACAGGAAGCAGTTCGCGCCGCGAACCCTGGCGCGGAATGCCTCGACGGCCGCCGGGAACACGCCGCCGGCCTCGAGGTCGGTGTTGAGCAGCGGCAGCGAGGAGATGTCGATGTGGTCGATCTCCAGCCCCGGGATCGACTCCCTGCAGATCTCCGCGGCTGCGCGCGTGGACACGTTTACCCGGCAGGCGGTCAGGATTCGGCAGCCACAGAACGCTGGCGCTAGAAGATTCAAATAAGGCGTAGGGAGTGGAAGGAACGAGCTTACCGGCGCGGATGAGGCCGGTGTTGGCCGACGCCCTGCGCAGCGAGCCGGAGATCGCCGCCACCCTCAGGACGGTCTTCCCCGCTGCCTGCGCCGTCGAGCCTTCCATGCGTGCGTGCGCGAGCCGCGAGGTGTCGGAGCGCAGTTGGTGGTTGTCTGGCTGACCTCCTCGTATCTGGCAAGTGGCAACCTTTACAAAGTGGGAGGGGGGCAGAGGGCAGAGAGGGCTGTATTTGTAGCGATGTGGTGCAGGAGTACCACACGAAGGGGCCTGGGAATCACATAATCATGGTCAATAGTTAGCTGTTGAAAAAATAGCAGGCACATTTTGGGTACCTGGATTTATGCAGTTAATAGTTAGCTGTTGAAAAATAGCAGGCACGTTTAAAAAGACATATTTTAATAATTTTAAAATGAACACATTTCTAGCAATGTATCTGGACAAGTATTTGTCCACTTACATAGATAGAAGTGTATTTGTTTTAGCACTGAGTTTCAATCCGACTAATATCAGGACTTTCTGTTGCATAGTGTCCTGGGTGTGTAGTCGACATGGAATGGAAAACATCATCATTCGAGTAAATCTCATGATCATGTGAGTTAGAGCGGTCTACGTATCTGTA